AATTAAGTATTGAATTTGACTGTATTAAATCCTTATAGATGTCAACTGTTAATTCGGAAATGATATCAAGTGTTGATTCAAGTCGCACTTTCGTACATGGTAAAAGACGAAAGAACAAACGAAATGTATATGACTCGCTGATACGTTATCAACGCGCCCATCGCTTCGCACGAATAATGAAACGAAAGATTTATCTGCGCCGCAAGGCTGCATGGGAACGGGATGACCCGGAAGAGACATTCAGCATAGACTCTGCAAATAGCATATGCGGATCAAGCATAGAAGACCCAGCTGTAGAATCGTTACGATCCAATCGAACGAATGCAAACGTTTAGAAATTTTCTCGTTGTTTGTTTCAAATCCATTAATTGTATCGAATGTTGTAATCCTTTGCAATTCCTGTCATGAACTCAACTACTAAAATAAAAGAATCCTAATAAAGGAATTTCTGTTATTGTAGAATGAGTCAAGAATCAGCCCACGGACAAGACAACAATGAACACGTCAGTGTTCATACTGAAGCATCTAGTTTCACCCCTCCCGTCCAAAATGAACCCGTCAATGTTGGGAATAACCCAAACGCTGGTGGTCAACTCGACCTTGTGATTCCAGCTTTTCTCGCTAATGTGTTGCAACAAATAGCCAACGCGCCAATGTTTCAACCACCTCCACCACCGCCACCTCGAGTGATAACCTACAAAACGCTAAGAGATAACGGTGCAGATTTATTTCTTGGGGATCGCATCGGTGAACCCCAGATTGCGTGGGACTGGATCGAGCAGACTTCCCGAGTGTTGGAAGATCTCAATGTACCCATGGACAATTATCCCAGACTGGCTTCTCAATTACTTCGAAAGGAAGCCTACGAATGGTGGAAGAGGACGGATGAGAGTGCGGGAACCCCTAAGTCGTGGACATGGGCACATTTCGAATGGGCATTCAAGCAAAAATATATTCCGAAACGATTTAGCGAGGAAAGACGTAAGGAATTTGTTGAACTGGAACAGGGAGACATGACACTCCTTGAATATCGTCAGAAGTTTACCAAACTCGCAAAGTTTGCACCAACCTTAGTAAATACCCCAACCGATCGCATTGAGGAGTTCAGGAAGAAACTTCGACCTGACCTCAAGTCACGTGTATCCATTCTAACCACTGTAGATTTCGCGGAAGCCTACGATCTCATTGCCAGGGCAGACAGCGACTTGAGTGCTTGCATTGAGTATCTGAAGACAAATAATGTCAGCTCAAGCACTCACCATCCCACCGGCTCTGCCTCAAAAGGGAAAAGGCCCTTTCAAGAACCTAGCAATTCACATTTCTCTAAAAAGGGAAAATCTGTACAAACTCAGCCGATGGCATCCGTTGATAAGTCCAAAAAGCAGAGGTATCCAGCTTGCGAGCACTGTGGAAGGAATCACCCTGGAGAATGCTGGCTTAAGCAAGGGTTGTGTCTCGGCTGTGGAAAACCAGG